AACAAAGCACTAGGCTATTGTTCTTTTCCTGATCTTCTGTTCTTTTGAGGGGATGGAATACCGCTCCATTGTGAAGTGGGTGCAATGAAGGTATCGCCCACTCTGCGCTTTCTGATATGCAGGCTAGTGGGGTAACTTCATCGCCTCACAACCTACAGCATGTCTGGCTTCTCCGGATAGTCTGGTTTTTCTGTTTGACTCTGCGAATGTGGGTGAAAACGTGGACCCTGCCTTTGGGTCATGATAACCTCAGGGCTTCATTAGAGGAACTGAGAGCTGTGAACGGAAGCCGCTTTCTTTCCTTTGTGGGAGTAGGGTTGCCAACTTCCAGGTGGTGGCTGGAGATCTCCTGGGATTACAAACTGATCTCCAGGTGACAGAGATCCATTCACCTGGGGAAAATGGCTGCTTTGGTAGGCGGACTCTATGGCATTATAACTTATTGAGATCCCTCCCCAATCCTCGCCCTCCTCAGGTTCCACCCCCGAAATCTCCAGGTATTTCCCAATCCAGAGCTGGCGACCCTACATGGGAGGGTTTTTTTTCCCCCCTTCCTGCTTGTGAGGCGTTTTTTTGTCAGAGATATTATCCTGGTCCCAGTGTGGATAACATGAGTGACTTTTAAAACCAGGAATGGCCAGGGTGTTGGTGTTTTTGGAATACCACCACAAAATGGCTGCCAGGAGAGCAGGGCCGTTCTCAAAATGGCTGCCGAGGTGGAGAGGCCAATCACAGATCATTGGGTGGTTCCAAGCTAAGGGTCCTCCTACAAGGAAGGCGGCTATTTCTGAAGGGGCGCTCGGCTCCCTTCAGGTGCCGAGGCACAAATCCTTCCGTTTTCAAAGGGGAAAGTTGTGTTTCCTACGTTGTGACGTGAAGAGGAGGTTTCCAAGCCAAAAGAGACAGGAAAGTGTGTGGCCCAGCTGAAGGCGCACAGGGGATTAGCACAGTGATTTGCTAAGTTAGTCAGCTGGCAGAGAGTGTTCCGAAGTTCCCCGGTTGGCGTCGTTTTTCTGTTCTGCCAAGATCCTTTGGATTTTGTCCCCAAGAAGGCTCAAGAAATAAGGGGGTGCTAAGGCTGTAGTTTTCAGTGAAAATGGGTCTTCCAAGGTCGTTCAGTAATGGATTTCTTGTGTCCCCTGCAGTAAAGTCCTCACTCTCTTTAAGGACAATTTGGCTAGCAAGTGTGCCACAGCCTCAAGAAGTCTGAGGTGCACAGTTGCCAGCCTCAAGGTGAGGCCTGGAGATCTCTGGCCAGCAGCAATCCCTTCCCCTGGAGAAAATGGCTGCTTTGGGTGGGTGGGCTCTGCGGCATCACATCCCTGCGGACACCCCTCCCCTCTCCAAACCCCGCCTTCCCCTGGAGCCATCCCCAAAGCTCCAGGAATTTCCCAACCAGGCGTTGGCAACCCTACCCAGAAGTCTTCGCTAGCAGGCATGCAGCCTTAAAGCCAAACGAGAGCGGCTTGGCTTATGATACCTCTGGGGGTAAGAGGACAGTTTCCGAAATGTGCACAAAACTATGACGGTCTTGCTGAAAGTGGGGAGCACCGAAATTGTTTGCTGCAGCCCTTTCTCTCTCTCCCCCCCCCCTCTAGAAAAACGTCAACGTTGGAGATCAGTCGCATAAAATGTCAACCGAACGCTGTGTCCGACTGACACTGGTCAGCATGGTCAACGACCTGAAAGAAGCCTGGGTCAGTGACCAACCGTACCTGGCGGTCTGTTACCTCTGGCAGTACGCCCCCACCTGGGCCTGGTGGCTGCTGAAAAAACCGCATGGGAACCAGGCGAATCCAGAATTTCAAGAGTGGAGTGGTATGTTCAGCTACTGACCTGATTATAGTGCAATAAACCTGGAACGTTGTGTCAGATAGAGCAATCTAGAAACTACATTAACTGCCAAACCTATGGCTGGCATTTGGCCTTGCTCACATTTTTGCATTTACGGATACCCCACTCTTCAGAGAGTGATTAAAATGTGGATTTCGCTGCCAGAGGCTGTAGTGATGGCCACAGGAAGGAACAGCTTTGAAAGGGAATGAGAGAGGTTCATGGAGGATAAGGCTATCAATAGCTACTAGCCCTGGTGACTGAGGGGAACCTCCACATTCAGAGGCACTAAGCCTTTGAATCCCAGAGCCAGGAGGTGAGATCCGGGGAAGGCCTTGGCCTCTATGCCCTGTTGTTGGCCCTCCAGAGGAACTGGTTGACCACAGTGAGACAGGATGTTGGACTAGGTAGACCACTGGCCTGATCCAGCAGGGCTCTTCCTATGTTCTAATGAAGGCCTCGGCCTCTGTGCCCTGTTGTTGGCCCTCCAGAGGAAGTGGCTGGCCACAGTGTGAGACAGGATGTTGGACAAGGTAGACCACTGGCTTGATCCAGCAGGGCTCTTCCTGTGTTCTAGTTCAGAGCGCACTTACCTATGAGCACATACAAGACCAGCCTCTAGTATGTGCGTATCATTTCTGTGTAGATTCCAGGCGCTGAATAAAGAGGGTCTTCTTCTCATAGGATGGGGCCTACCCCCCCCACAAGCCGCAGTTTAGTTTGAGAGAATCCTCCCTGCCCATCTGATAAAGTATTAGTGTACTACTAACTTGTCGCAGACGAACACATAGGCACCAATGCTCCCTCTAAGCTGTGGAGTCTTATGAGCAAAAATTCTACTTTGTGAGCGGCTGGCATTAGAGTTGTGAGCGAGCGATTTGGCTGCTGCATAAATCAAGTTTGCTCTGGAGCCATCCTTCCTGAGCTAAGACAAAAATGTGTGAGCCGGAGGCTAAAAATCTGTCAGCTAGCTCACACTAACTCATCTTAGAGGGAACACTGATAGGCACTAGCCAAAAGGTAGAGTGTATATCTTGATAGTATGAGAAACGAGCTCAGAATTTTATGCTTTTGGTTCTTTTTGCAGGATGCAGACATTTCTTACTACAAAAAGTCGTCTTGAGGAGGCACGTTCCAACTCCTTTGCGCCGAGACCAGCATGAGACAGAAAAGCGACCATCTTCCCCTGCTTCAGTTTTCTTTTTTGTTTAAATGTGTAGCTTTACTTCTGGCTCCTATATAATCCGACACACATCACGCCTGTTTTAATGTATTCCTTTGAATAAGTTTCTATATCGGATGCTGTCTGATATGGTAAATATGGAGAGCCATAAGTGATTCTTTTTAAAATTAATATTCCCTGGCCCTCCGCCAATGCCGTCCTTCCCCTGAACAGAGACTTGTCTTAATGTAGACCGGGACTGCCCACCCTTTCTGAGCCTGTGGGAATGCTGACACGGGGCGGCGGGCGCAACCACAACATTTCAACATTTCAGACTAAAGCTCTGCTTGAACAAGATGCCCTTTTCAATGAAAATATTGCTTAAAAACCACTTCATTCACGCAGTGAAGATCCTTGTGGAGTGGCGGCGGCCGCTGCCAAAGCAATGCTTTTCAAGACCTGCACAGTCCGTCAGAAGGTGTGCTGGGCGAAAGCCTCACCTGGCCCCCCCAGAAAAGGTGTCATGTGGTGCCACGGTGCCCAGGGGCGCCACGTTGGGGACCCCTAGTGTAGACTTTTCAAACCCCGATACCCCTTCCCAAGGCGTTTCCTCAAACACTGAGGCCTTGGGCTACACACAAGCTTTCAGTGTTGCACCTTCTACCTCTGAGATATGACAAGACCAGTCGCTCAGGTTGTCTAGAGAAGGAAACCACGCTCCTGAGATGTTTCAGGTGCTGAATCAGATGAGATGCCTCCAATATACATTTCCCTGCTGCCTTTCGTTGCTGTCAGACCCAGGGCTCTACTGGGAGCAGGAGCTCCTTTGCATATTAGGCCACACACCCCTAGTGTAGCCAATCCTCCAAGAACTTACAGTAACCCCAGTAAGAGGAGCTCTGTAAACTCTTGGAGGATTGGCTACACTAGAGGTGTGTGGCCTAATATGCAAAGGAGCTTCTGCTACCAGTAGAGCTCTGGTCAGACCTACTACGGGTATTTTGTAGATGTTAAGAAAAGCACCTCGTTCGTAATACAAAGTAGAAGGCCGAAGGCAATAAGCACAAATCTATTTTTTTTAACAAAAATGAAGCATACACAAGCATGGCCATTATATGACTCACGGGGAATCCTAGTAAGATTTCAAGCCCCCCTGGCCAATTTCTCTAGGAGCGCTCTTTTTGGAATGGTTCTTGCAGAAAATTAGTCCTACGGGCAATCCTCCCTCTAAGCTATGGAGTCCTGTGAGCAAAAATTCTACTTTGTGAGCCACTGGCGTTAAAGTTGTGAGCTGGTGATTTGGCTACTGCATCAATTAGTCTGCTCTGGAGCCCTATCCTTCCTGAGCGAAGACAAAAACATGTGAGCCGGAGGGGCTAAAAAACTGTGAGCTAGCTCACACAAACTCAGCTTAGAGGGAACACAGCCTACGGGACTCCACCCGATTACCAGGATGCTGGACAGCCATCCTCAACCATGCCTAGAACTGTGTGGGATTAGAGCAAACCCACCGGGACCCCGAAGCAGTAATAAATACCACATTTGCGGTACTCAAGACTGCTTGTTTTGAGAGCCAGTTTGGTGTAGTGGTTAAGTATGCGGACTCTAATCTGGGAGAACTGGGTTTGATTCCCCACTCCTCCACTTGCAGCTGCTGATGTGACCTTGGGTCAGTCACAAGCTCTGGCACAGCTGTCCTTGAAAAAGAGCAGTTTGTGTCAGAGTTCTCTCAGCCCCACCCACTTCACAGGGTGTCTGTTGTGGGGAGGGGAAGGGAAAGGAGTTTGTAAGCCGCTCAGAGACTCCAAGTGAAGGGCAGGGTATAAATCCAATCTCTTCTTCTTCTTCTTCTTTTGTGACATGAACAAGAGATGTACGATTCAGTGTTTTCAGATATTCCTTTTATGCAAAAGAGCTATGCCTTACAAATAAACTATAAACAAATGGTAACGTCTTCAGACTGTTATATCCAAAGTCAGAAAAGTAACCTTACTCACCGAAGTTTTTTTGGTATTAATCCTTATGGCTTTACAAATCTGTAATACACTGCACCTTGCCTTTCAGTGCAGTTGAGGATACTGACTTCACACAAATTAAGTTCAGGCAAAGTACATAAAGAGCTTATTGTGTATGGTCCACCAAATCACCGCTTGTGATAGGTACAGGTTCGGACAAAAACTTCTGGTACCAAACATGAGATGTCTCCCTACCCTTTCCTAAAAGCAAAGTATTGATCCAGGGGGTATCTCCTCTTTGTGAAGAAGGATTCCTCGCTCTTTCAGAGAGACCAGGGGTTTTTTTAGCACACAGGTGCAGGGTTTTGGGTTTTTTTGCATTTGGTTCTGCAGAAACCCAGAGTCCTACAGCAAAGGCACATGGAGAGGTACAGAGGAATAAACGGGGGAGCCGTGCGGAGGATCCGCTGCTTGTATGGTCAGGTTCCTCAGCAGTAAGAGATGCGCTTGCATGCTGAAGCGTTCCTCGTCGTCGTTGGTGGCGTAGAGCATCTCCCAAGACAGGTTGGCCCACTGGCCTCGGACGGCTTCCCCACGGAGCTTCCCCACCGGCAACGAGAATTCCTGAAGGGTGAGCATGCGGCTGGTGCAAACGCCCTTCAAGACCAATGTATAAACAGGGAGAGAATCACAGGTGGAAATCATCTTTTCTCTTACACCTCCCATTTTTATATCAGCGCCTCCCTTTTCTCCCCGCTCCCTTTGCATTAGCTCTGACCTATGTGGCCCAGGACAGGTCTCGTCAGATCTTGGAGGCTAAGCAGGGTCAGCCCTGATTAGTATTTGGATGGGAGACGCCCCAGGTTTGCTCTGCAGAGGCAGGCAATGGCAAACTACCTCTGGATGTCTCTTGCCTTGAAAACCCTACGGGATCACCGTAAGTCAAACTAAACGGACCGTAAACAACCACCTATCATGACACTGCGTAGCTGAATGAGTCAGGGTCAGCCCTGATGAGTATTTAGATGGGAGACCCCCAAGGGAGACCCCGGGTGGCTCCACAGAGGCAGGCAATGGCAAACCACCTCTAAACATCTGTTGCCTTGAAAACCCTACGGGATCACCGTAGGTCAAATGAACGGGCCATGAACAACCATCTGTCATGATACTGCCTATCTCAAGGAGTCAGGCGAATTATAAATCTCCAGTTTATGGATAATTATTTTTAGTTCACTTGACTCACTGAGGTACGCAATATCATAATGTGCAATATTAGAATGGTTATCCATCAACTGTCCCTGAGCTGGATGGTTTCGGCTAGTCTGACATCGTCCTTTCTAGAGATGTGAAGGCCCGGGAAAAAACCGGAAAAATTCGGGGGGAAAACGTTTTTTTCCGTTTTTTTCCTGAAGCCTTTTTTGTTTTTTCCCGAAAAATTGGAAAAATTGAAAAAAGAAAAAAAAATGATTATGAAACGTTTTATTTTAACATGATGAATAAAATATTTTAAGACCAGGTGTTCAAATATTTTCCAAATCATTTCTAATATATATATATGGTATCAGATTGATGTAATTTCTGCACACTGAGGACAAGCAAGTCCTAGGTTACAAATTGAACTCTCCAATGCAAGAACAAGATGCATTTCTTCCTTTAGGAGGTGCGATTGTCAGAAGAAAATAAAAAAGTTTCAGTTTTGTTTTTGCGTGTGGGTGGGTATTCTGTAATAATTGCTTGGATACACTATATTTTTAATATGCTATATTTTTAATATGCTAGTTGTGATAATTTCATGCCAAGTAAAAATGTCCATAGTCATATTTTATGTTCCTAAAGTAACAGAATGACTTTCAAACTAGAAAAGACAAAATAAATGCGAATGTAGCATTTTTTTTCAATTTTTCCGAAAATTTCCGTTTCCCCCCGAAAAAAAAACGGGGGAAAAAACGGGGTTTTTCCGGAAATTTTACATCTCTAGTCGTTTCTCGGATGCTAAGCAGTGTCAGCCCTGGTTAGTATTTGGATGGGAGACCACCAAGAAAGACCGGGTTCACTACTACATAGAGGCAGGCAATGGCAAGCCACCTCTGAACGTCTCTTGCCTTGAGAACCCTACGGGGTCACCAGAAGTCAGCTGCGACTTGACGGCACTTCCCACCGCCACCATTACATTAAGATTTAAAGAATCGCAGGGTAATAATTTGCACCAAGCCTTGATGCCTCTCTAGCCTCAGTACAATTTTTACCATCACATAACTATCTGACAAAGTGGGCTGTGGCTCAAAGGAGGACATGGTAAAATGAATGGGAAATTGCTGAGTTGCAGGTTATTACAGCACTCAGAACAATGGAGTCCCCAGGACTTAACAGGGATATTGGTTTCTTATCTCGCTACATAGGATAACCTCATTCAGCCCTTACATCTGTATTCCCACCAATCTCCCAGAAGGGCCATTTTATTTTATTCCTTATTTGGAATAACAGATGACAATAGCAGACTGTAATGTAACATAATGAATAGTAGAAATTGGAATGTATTTCCCTGGTCTGGGGACAGGGGAGATAAACCTGTACAGCTAATCACCCCACTTCGAAGAAGAAAATGCTGTAAAGTCGCCTCCATGCTTGAGAGGAGACGGATGGCAGGGTCTCGCTTAATTACTCTCCGCCTTCCACAATTAAGGATACGTCAACCTCCAATTTTGACATATTTATTTCCTTCACTGTTTCCCCCCCAGAACTGAACCCAAACAAATGGTAACCATATAAACTAAGTTTATTATTCCTGTTTGATCCTTGAATCTGTTAAACATCTTCATTATGTTGTATGATAACTTACCACCCCCTATCTATATGTATGGACTGGTAATTTCCATTTTTGTCTCTGTCTTTAATTGGCCCGCCGTGGCAACTAGCCATATATAACGGTTGAGGAAATTTTGATGCACTGTATCTGAAGAAGTGTGCTTGCACAAGAAATCTTATACCCAGTCTTAAACTTTGTTGGTCTTAAGAGGTGCCTCTGGACTCAAAATTACAATCCGTTCTGCTGCTTCACACCAACATGGCTGCCCGCCTGAATGTAAATTAAATGAACGGTATTAAGTCTTTAAGCTGCCACTGCGTTTTGGGTTTCGCACCCTTTATCTTAGCGCTCTGTCACCATACTCATTACTTGTAGCAATTCTTAGACATAATTCAGTGGAATGTGCAGACAGGATAGTGTGTGTGTATATATATATATATATATATATATATATATATATTTTAAGTGACAGATTACAACAGCAGCGAACACATGAAGTTCCCTTGTGCTGAATCAGATCCTTTGTCCATTAAGGTTAGTATTGTCCACTGGTTGCCCAGGGTCTCAGGCAGAGATCTTTTGCATCACTTATCACCTGATCCTTTTAGCTGGAGATGCCGGGGATTGAACCCAAGACCTTCCACACGCCAAGCACCTGCTCTACCACTGAGCCACAGCCTTCCCCCCCCCCCCCGGGGGGGGTTTTTTTTGGCCAACTAGTTCTCCATGGAGGAAAACTGTTAACGGCAGAAAGACACACATCTGCCCTGTCTCTCTTTGTATACGCCCCTTCCCTGCAGAAACAAAACTGTGCAAAGGCAGACGGGACAGAATTCCTAGTTGTAAGGATTTGTACACTACTTAGAATATAAGCGGCCTCTTCGGAATCCCGCTCAAGGCAGCTTACAAATAAAAAACACAAGCGGCTGAAAACTGCCGATAAAACAGAAGCAGACCATTAAAAGTGGATGAGATGAAGCCCCTAACTAAAAGCCTGGATTTTAAAAAAGACGTCTTTTAAAGACAGTGAAGTGAGATGCCAGGTGAGCCTTAAGGGGGAGATGGTGTTCTTAAGGTGACCTGCCACGACAGAAAGGCCCTGCCTCTATGTGGAAGAAAATCTGGCTTAGCCGGACTTCAGACATGTTAGGTCTGCTGAAGGGGTCAGGTAGATGAAGAAGAAGAAGCTGTGTTGAGGAAATGACACACAGGTGAGCATACTAGAAAGAACTGCTTTGAAGCAACCTGTAATCCAGGTACTGAGGAAGTTAGGTACTGAGAAAGAGTCAGTTTGGTATAGTGGTTAAGTGTGCGGACTCAAACCCGGGGAGAACCGGGTTTGATTCCCCACTCCTCCACTTGCACCTGCTGATGTGACCTTGGGTCAGTCACAAGCTCTGGCACAGCTGTCCTTGAAAAAGAGCAGTTTCTGTCAGAGCTCTCTCGGCCCCACCCACCTCACAGGGTGTCTGTTGTGGGGAGGGGAAGGGAAAGGAGTTTGTAAGCCGCTCTGAGACTCCAAGTGAAGGGCGGGGTATAAATCCAATCTCTTCTTCTTCTCTTCTTCTTCTTCTTCTGTCAGGAATGGAAAAGAAATGTTGAGCCCAGTGGGGCACCTTTAAGACCAACAAAGGTTTATTCAAGGCATGATGAGCTTTTGTGTGCAAGGCACGCTTTTTCAAATACATTGGAATGGTAGGAAAGGTTCAAACTGATAGACAGAGGCTGAACAGCAAATGAACATGTAAACGCGATGAAGACGTTTTCAGCTATGTAAAGACGAAACTAAATAACAAGCTAAGGTTATAAGGTTAACAGTTGTTTTGATTTAATTAAGGGGGGGAAAGGACAGCAAAGCAATAAATATGTTAAAATAGGGGATAAATGTGAAAAGGCATCTTTTCTCATTGTGGGGAATAAACCAAGACTCACCATTCGCCTCCTCACAGGCGTGGGGGTAGCTTAACAGTTAACGGAAAACATTATTTTTAAGGTCTACTTGCACACGTTTATCTGGGGGGGGGGGCTACAAATGTACTCGGGAGAGATACCCCCGCCCCCGATTCTGCTTTTGCTGTCTCCTACGATCCTACGATAAAGAATTCGACAGTTTTGGAAATTACTTTTTTGTGTCTGTCTTTGACAGCCACTCACCACCCGCCTCCCCTCTGAAGGTGGAGGCACAGAGGAAGAGCAGGGCTTGAGGGGCAGGTCTTGGGGGGGGGGCGGAGGGGATTTTTTATTATTTTTTATAACACTACAAAAACTATAACAGAAGGGAAGGGAAAGAATTTCTAAGGGTTCAGCTAGGAAGACCAGAGGACGGGGAAAAAGAAGAGGACGGCAAGTCCAGTGGCGAGCTGGACTCTGGCTCTTCCGGAGAGGACTCTCTGTCAGAACAAGGGGCAGCAGCCCCAAAAAGTCCATATAAGCTGCGGAAGAGAAGGGGAAAGGAGAAGTAAAGGCTTAAGGACTCTGAATTGTGCCTTTGAGACTCTTGATATGGTCAGGGGTACTGTTTCTAGACAGTTAAATTTAAGCTTTAAAGGGAAAGTACTATAAATGTTTGACAGTTTATAAAGGGATCAATGATGGGAAGACTTGATGTAACTAAGCTTGTAGGAGGATCTCCTCTCTTGGGTTTTTAGTCAGTAGAGGGGCAGGTCTGAAATGCCTGGGCAGGACGGGACACAGGCATCGCTTCAGTGGTGGGCCAACCGCAGGGGGGCACCCACAACCATTCATGACTGATCGGTCTGGCCCATCGGCCTGCCACGGAGACCCATTCCTCCCTCCCCTTTTTGGTTCAGAGCGCCGATTGGCCGGTCCTCTTATCAAGAAGACCCCCTTCCTTCCTCCACCAACTTGAGTTTTAATACTGGGGAAGGTTTTATGGAAAGGAAGAGATGCTGAACAAGGGAGAGCAGAGAAAGGCGACAGGCACTCTGTGGGGGAAGCGCTCAAATAGGAGTCAGCCCGCTTGGAGGGGTCCCAGGTGGGAAGGGGATGTCCGCCTGCAAACCGAGAGGCTGCTACGGCCTCTGTTGAGAAGCAAAAGGCAGAACTTGCTCTGTGGCTGGAAAACAGGGGCTCTTTCCCCTGCGAAGAGGCAGCAGCCTGGATCGCTGGTTCAGCACCGACTGTTTCGTCGGGCAAAGCACCTCCTGTGCCGTGCTGGCTCAGGGCCACAGAGCCACGACTCCCCGCAGCTCTCGGAGGTTCCAGACACATTGTCGAGATCCTCATTTGCTTTTGATGTTGAATAAAAACTGGCTGATTTCCTGCCAGCCGCCCCACTTACCTTCTCGGCATCGAACCCCAAGGAGAACAGAAACGGCTTTTCTTGGAGAACGGCCTGCTGCCACTCCTTTTCGGACGCCACCCCGATAAACCAGTCATTTTCATAGCCTTCCAGACAGCTCAGCAGCTCCTTGAAGTTCTCAAATGCACCCAGGCTGGCTTTATCCACCATCAGCTTCACCGTGTATCTGAAAGGACACAGTACACAATGAAGAAGAGTGGGTTTTTATTCCCCGCTTTTCTCTACCCCAAGGAATCTCAGAGCATCTTACAATCGCCTTTCCCTTCCTCTCCCCACAACAGACACCCTGTGAGGTAGATGGGGCTGAGAGAGCTCTGAGAAAACTGCTCTTGAGAGAACAGCTCTGAGAGAACTTGTGACGGACCCAAGGCCACACCAGCAGCTGCATGTGGAGGAGTGGGGAATCAAACCTGATTCTCCCAGATTAGAGTCCACACTCCTAGCCACTATACCAAACTGAAGGAGAAGGAGGAGAGCTGGTTTTATACCCCACCCTTCACTACCCGAAGGAGTCTCCGAGCGGCTTACAATCTCCTTCCCTTCCTCTCCCCACAACAGACACCCTGTGAGGTAGATGGGGCTGAGAGAGCTCTGAGAAAACTGCTCTTGAGAGAACAGCTCTGAGAGAACTGTGGCTCGCCCAAGGTCACCCAGCTGGCTGCATGTAGAGGAGTGGGGAATCAAACCCGGTTCTCCCGGATTAGAGTCCGTGCTCTCAACCACTACACCAGACTGGCTCTAGACTAGGATCTGAGAGACCCAGGGTTGATCCCCACTCTGCCATGGGCTGCTTCCACCTGGAGAAGCAGGGCAAGCAACAAGTGGGAGGGGACGGTGACTCGGCGGCGGAGCACCTGCTTGGCATGCAGAAGGTCCCAGGTTCAATCCTCGGCATCTCCAGTTAAAAGGGTCAGGTAGGAGGTGATGTGAAAGATCTCTGCCTGAGACCCTGGAGAGCCATGAAGGGGGGCTGTAGCTCAGTGGAAGAGCCTCCGCTTGGCATGCAGAAGGTCCCAGGTTCAATCCCTGTCATCTCCAGTTAAAAGGATCAGGTAGGAGGTGATGTGAAAGATCTCTGCCTGAGACCCTGGAGAGCCATGAAGTGGGGCTGTAGCTCAGTGGAAGAGCCTCCGCTTGGCATGCAGAAGGTCCCAGGTCCAATCCCCGGCATCTCCAGTTAAAAGATCTGGCTGTAGGTGATGTGGAAGACCTCTGCCTGAGACCACGGAGAGCTGCTGCCAGTCTGAGTAGACAATACTGTTGTAGGCACATTTTATGAACCACTTTGTACTCTGCCACTGCCTAACAGGTTTGACTTGGTAGGTGTGCTTAGCACTTCCATAATGCATATGATTCTGACATCATGAATGTATTCAGGTATTAACTTTGGTTCATTTGTGACTGTTGTTTGAATGCCTGCTGGGAAGAAGGCTGAAATGCTGATACACAGTTATGCTGCCCATGACCTTGCTTGTTCTGGACAGCTACAACTGCGCATGTTTCTGATGTCAGTTAGCCTAGCTAGAATGAAGGACAGTAAGCACTCTGTAACCCTATCAGTTATATAGATACAACATTGCTTCTTCATAGCGTCCAAAAGAAAAGCGTATTGTTCTGTTAGGAAAAGAAGAACTCTGCCTGGGAACAACCCCCCCCCCCCCCCGGGTCTTAACCCAATGGGAAACAGGTGATGAAATTTGACAATGTTTGATGGAACCAATAATTCTGTTTTATTTCTCTGATGTAATGTGAAGTATAAAATGCTATTTCACCCATTGTGACACTTGAAAAATCTGTTGGGTATTCAGGGTTCCAAAACCCTAGAATCTGTATTCTTCCTTATTAATTAATAAATTATTTTTTGGTTTCCAACTCTACAGGACTGCTTTTGTGTGTTTTCTCAAATTGGCCTGGGCAAACACCATCAGGGACAGAGGTTCTGTCTTACAATACTGACTTTAATGGACCAAGGGTCTGACCCAGTAGAAGGCAGTTTCTTGTGCTTCGGGGAACAGCCCCCACACGCTCCACCCCCACAGCTCTCGCTGCTGGCACTGCTCCCTCCCCAGCCTTGTTCCATCGGTGCAGAAGGACTGATCTGGCGCGGGTCTTGCCAAAACCCCTCGCAGGCCGGCAATCCCTCCCCTCCCAGCAGCTGAACCACAGCCGGGTTTTTAAGGAGAAAAGAAAGCCAGAAATGAAAAGGGAGGGGAATTTAGAACAAGGGCGCTTATCGCTGTGATGGCAGCCCCTAAGCTCCGCCCCCCCCACCATGGATTGGCTGCAGGTTGGACGATTCACATGGAAGCTCCGCCTTTAACCACCAGACTGGTTCAGTTGAGGCAGTTAACCTGAAATTAGCTGTTGTAGATTTTCCGGGATGTCTGGCCGTGGTCTTGGCATTGTAGGACCTGACGTTTCGCCAGTAGCTGTGACTGGCATCCTCAGAGGTATATAACACAGAAAGATGGAATACTCTCTGTGTCAAGGTGAGAAGAAAAATGGTAGGCAGGTGATTTATATCTACTCAGGAAGGTGGGGTAGGGCTGAGTCATTATCTTGTAGGTGTTCCGCAGGCTGTGAACATGCTAATGGAGGAGCTTTCCTGAGGAGGTTATTTTGTATATGGATTGTTTCCTGAGGAGGTTTCCTGTTTCCTGAGGAGGTTCTTTTGCATGTGGATCAGCTGTTGAAATTCTAATCTTATCTGTAGTGCTATTGTCAGATGTAGAGTCTTTTGTTTTTCAGGACAGGAAACCATGCCCTATTTCTTCTTAAACCCTCTTCTTTCCTGTTGAAATTGCCTTTATGTTCATGAATTCCAATGGCTTCCCTGTGTAATCTGACATGGTAATTAGATGTGTTGTCCAGCCTATCAGTGTCTTGGAACAAAATACCTTCCTGAGTAGATATAAATTACCTGCCTACCATTTTTCTTCTCACCTTGACACAGAGAGGACTCCATCTTTCTGTGTTATACCTCTGAGGATGCCAGTCACAGCTACTGGCGAAACGCCAGGCCCTACGATGCCAAGACCACGGCCAGACAGCCCGGGAAATCTACAACAGCTAATGAACTCCGGCTGTGAAGGCCTTCGACAACATATAAGTTACCTGAAAGCTTTCAACGCCAGCTGAAACAGCTCCTCCTTTCCCACCAGCCAACGCATACAGGTCGACCAGGGGATGTCTCCGTTGTACGTTCGGAATATCTGCCCAGGAGACGGGAGGCTGTGATCTGCTCCAAACATGCCGACCCAACAGGATAAGACCACCTGGAGGTACGCTTGCTGCAAAGCAGGGTCTTCCGTAAGATCTCCCAGCGAACCAAAAGGATCGTCTTTCGAGTGAGAGAAATTCAGCCGGCGAAGGACAAAGTGGAACCAGTCTTCCGGGAACCTTTGCCCCATTTCCTTCAACTCGGCGTCTGGGCAAGGTGCCGTTCTCCACTGTCTAGGAACGGCCAAGAGCTCAGAACAGCGGCTATTAAATGGAACGGGGGGTGGCCTTGCTACTTGCCGCTTTCCAGTGCCTAAAGTCGGTAAGGCAGGAAGCACCGATGTATAAAATCTATCTCCTTCTAGTTCATCTCCTATTTCTACTGATCCCGGCAGAGATGAGAAGAGTCTCGGCAAACTTCCTTGCGCTTCTGAGGTTCTCCTGCTGGACTCAAGATCAAAAAGGTGGCTGCGATCGGTCCAGTCGTCTATTGACTCCATACTGAGACTGTCGGACCCGGACAACCGGATATTCGTCCTGTCTCTGGTCTTGCTCGAAATTTCGGGCGGCGTCAACGGGGGAGACTCTCGCTCCTGGGCTTCGCCGGGCGGCTTTGGCCTTTTTCGCTTCGCATAGCAATGGTGGACTAGCACCCATAAGAGGACTTTGATGAAATCGTCTTTCATCTGCCACCGGTTCTCCGGCAAGTCGATGATCCCAGACAAGACGTTCCGGGCATCCGAATAGAGTTTCGTGGGCAGAACCGTGCATGGTGTTAAGATGTTCCCAAAGTGACGGTTGAGGGAAGGCCTCCGAGGGTGGCCCTCGTATTCAAAAGCCGTTTCAAAAATGTCGTCGACGCGACGAACTTCGGCAGTATGGCAAGAGGTCTCCTCCAGTTCTAACCCCTGAAGAACAAACAACAGATCAGACAAAGGCATTCAAATATTTTGTACAGACAGACGGCAATATGACGGCTTGGTTCTGATCAGGGGTCATTTCCTGCAGGAGCGCAGAGGAGCGGAGCTCTGGCAGTAAAGAGCCCAGGGGGCGGGCACATGCAACAAGCCCCGCCCCCTGCTCCCAGCAGCCCCGGGCCACGAGGAGCAGCCAGGTAAGTTGCAGAGCCCCCACCCCCAGATAGCAATCCAAAACAATCCAGTGGCACCTTTAAGGCCAAGGTTTATTCAGATAGAAGCTCTCCCTCCTCTGTGAGGGCAGATCTGTGCACTCCTGCCCCATAGCTAGCAATTCAAAAGTGTCCAGTGGAGCCTGAGCAGTGGGTGTTGCCTTCTGACACACTTCCGGTGATGTCAGGGGGTGTAGCATATGCAAATGAGTTATGCTAATGAGTTATGCTAATGAGCTCCTGCACCTCTTTTTCTACAAACTGACCCCTGGTTCTGATGATCCTCGAAACCACGGTTTAGATCAGGGATCCCCTACATTTTTGATCCTGCGGGCACCTTTGGACTTCTGGAACAGGACGGTGGGCACAGCCACTGCCCCCTGTATATGGAAAGCCTGAACACCAGGCTCTGACGTCACCGCAATGGCGACGAGAGTAGTCATAACAGTCCCCCTAGTGGTTTAGTGGGGCTAAGCGGGCAGTTTGAATTCAGTTGGTGCAGTGCTGGGGAGAGATTTCAGTTAGAGGAGACGAGTGTTGGCTGTTGACTCTTCCTCTGTAATTCTCTGCTAACAACAGTTTCTGTCCTTCATTTCTGGATTAAAACTGCCTTTTTGCTGTTGTGTTCCTGAACTTATTTTCATGGAAGAAAGAGGTGGGTCGATTCCTCGAAGCTTCCCTTCCCCCCCCCTTCTCCCCCATCTTTGCAATATTGAGACGCTGGGGAGGTGGAGGCTGGGGGGGGGAAGCAGTTGCTGGTGAAATGGGGATGAGAAGGAGTCTATATTTTCCTCTAATCTACTCAAAAGAAGTTCCATTGCCGATTGATGCCAAGTGGTGCTTCTGTAGAA